AGTGCCTTTTATTCCCATTATAGTAACTGACATACTTTTACTTTCTCGCCATGGCAACTACAAAAAAAGCTGCTAAACTGGAAGAAAGATGCAGGGGTATTTTAAAAGATTTGAAATTTACATTGTGTTATGATCTCAAAGATATTTTTTATAAAATGATGTATCATTGATACATAATGCCAGAGAAATTATTTAGAATGTAGAAAGTCATTTCAAATGTATGTTGGAAATATGAAGAAAGAATGTTTTGTCATGCTTGGTGAACATGTAAAAAAGCTAAAAAAAAATTGGATCCAATACCTACTTTGATACAGATTATTTTAAAGATCAACGTTCAATTGAAGCCAGAACTTTTTCTTTTAAGATTAATGGATAAATAATTAGAAAGAAGCCATTAAAAATTATTTCAGTATATGATCATAGCAGCGAGATTGCTGTATGCACAGAGATGAAAAGAGTTGGCACTGCTCATTATGGAGGGATGGTTGAAGTCGACAGATTTTACTGAAATGGATAAATAACTTCTTTGATTAGAGTAAAATCATGTTTCTATTTATTGCTGACTGAATACCTTTTATGGACTTTTTGCATAAAAATGAAAAAATGAATTTGTGACTCATGGTTTTGATGATTAAATGGGATAGATTATAGAAAGAAGCATAATATGATGTAACTTTAGAAAGAAAATACACTTGTGCTTAAAACTGCTATGAAGAATATGAAAAGCTGCTTCCATATACTTTTTTCTTCAACTTTTTTTCTCACGTATGTTTGCTTTTTCTGTGTTCATTTTATGAAAATGCATAAGATAATAGTTGAACAATGAGTACTTATTACATAGAATGCTTCCATTTTTGTTTAAGGGCCAAGAACTCAGTTTGCATTGAGACACCTGGAGAGTTTAAGGGGTAAAAATAGAAGTTTTAATCCTTGCAGGAGTTTAATGTATCTGGTTTGCCCCTTATTACAGCACAACAATCTGCAAGTATTCTAGAGGCCACCAAAAATTTAAAAAGTGGAATTGGGAGTTATGTGCTCCCACAGTTGCCTATTCCTGCTTAGGGCAATCCTTTCATAGTAGATTCATGTATCCATCATGTATGATATAATTCTAATAAACTCCTGTTGCTAAATAAGAATGATATTATATGTTTCCTCTCTTTTTTGCAGGAGACTACAGGTTCTTTAGAAAGTCATCACAAGGAGTAGTGGACCCAAAATCAGTAACAGATGATAAATATATATCATCAGAAAGGTGATAGCAATCTGAATTGGGGAAAAAACCAAATCAAGCTCATCTGTGCATACCAACTTTCCTCCCCTCCCCTCCCCTCCTCTTCCCTCAGGTGGGATCTTTACTTTACCAAGCATGATCTTCCTGCTTGGCATTAAACACTTACTTGGCAAGCTTCAAGGTATACACACAGATTATATCTAAGTTAATTTTTCTTTTAATAACAGTGGTTTAAGTGAAAACAGCTTCTCTCTATCTTCAGAGGACACTTTTAACTTGGATGATATCCAGAATTGTGAGAAAGTAAGACATTTATCTTTAAAATATACATATATCAGAGTGAAACTGTGGGGTTCTTGGTGCTGAATTTGGTTGTTTGCTTGCAGTTGTTTCATTACCCAAGAATTGTCCTATTCTGACAGCTGGGTGACCTTGGGCCAGTCACTGTCTCTCTGTTCAATTCATCTCATAGGCTTATTGTTGTGGTGAAAATAGGAGGAGGAAGGTGTGTTGGATATGTTTTTACAAATAACTCATTTGTGAAAATAATATAAAACTATTTTTGAAAAAGAAGTGTGCTTCTAGATACTATTTAATACCCACAATCTTTCAGATATCACCTACATAATCTGAATCACTGCACATATTTTCAGTGCTATAGGAATCAAAGAAGCAGAAAACATTACTTAATAAATGAAATAAAGAATTGATTGATTGCTTGATTGATTCTATAATTAACAAAGTATTTAGATTACAAGGAAATAAGTATTTTGTTTTATATATTTTATCCAATAGGTCTTTAGTGGATTCAATCCAGTAATGTAGGGAAGGAATGGCAAAACCTGAGGGCAGAGTTAAAAGAGGAATCAGCTTAGAATCTCTAAATGGTCACAAGTGGATTAAGTCCAACCTCTCTTGAATTCCATTGACCCTGATCTTACAACTAGCAGGAAGATTCTCAAATATTTGAGAGTCTTTCTATGCATAGGCATGAGTAATAATAAATCAATTTAATTGGAGCTTCACATGTGGACCTGACAAATAATCCTTGAACTTATTTTGCTGTGTTCTCTACAGCAAATGATGGTATCTAAATATACAAAACCTTATGTCAGTGAAGGACATTATGCAGCATTTCAGTGCATATCAGTCACCTGTTCCCATCATATTTAAGCACATTTACAGAAAATTAGTGGCATGGCAAACCATACAGTCTGCACAATATATAAATTGACAAATGAAATTAATTGTTTTTTGCTAATTTATAGCACTCAGCAATAGCACTTAGACTTATATACCACTTTACAGTGCTTTACAGCCCTCTCTAAGCGGTTTACATATTGGGGTAAGCATATTGCCCCCAACAACTTGGGTCCTCATTTTACCCATCTTGGAAGGATGGAAGGCTGAGTCAACCCTGAGCCTGGTGAGATTTGAACTGCCAAATTGCAGGCAGCTGGCAGTTAGCAGAAGTAGCCTGCAGTACTGTACTCTAACCCTGCCACCAAGGCTCATTATATATTTAATAATTTATTGCCAGTTGAGTATAATCCTCAAATGCCCTCTTTTACCCTATTTCCATTTTTTTCAAAAAAATATTTGCAAACAGATGTGCCATTCCAGAAATTATGCACTACTGTCTCTCCTTCATTAGGAGCCAGAAATATATTTTAAAGACACAGAAGAGTTGCTTCAGATGTTCAGATATCTTGAAGAGCAAAATCTTTCATTATTCCAAAACATTCAAGATATTAGTGGCACATTGGAGGAAAGCCAGCAGAGAGAGAAAATAGTCAAGCAGCATATGTAAGTTATTAATTTAATAGGGTTTTAAAATATATTTTCAAAGTGTGAACATGCATACATGCTGATAGCAATTTGTGCTCCAAACAAGCCTATTGAGATCTCCTGATTTTAGCCAGGGAAAGAAGATAAATTCAATATGGTGTTGTATTTCAGGCAAAGCTGATTAGCTTAATTTTAAGCAGGGTGTAAGTATAGGATGGTTTCAGCTCTTTAACAGTTAACACAGGGAAAAGGATTCAATGTAAGAATTGAGAAGCTAAGAGATATGACATACCTCAAAAATGAAACATGTTTTGGCTTTAAAATGAAGAATTAGAATACTGAATTATCCTAAACATTCTAGACTTCGGTTAGAGAATCTTAGGGAGAGAACACACTGCTTCCTTCATCACTTTTTAAAATGTTTGTATTACATGGAAGCTACTCTCCACAAAAAGTCTTTTCACTTCAAAAAAATAACCTAGGAATACAACATTGCCCAATGAAATTAAGATTATTGCATCTGGAAATAATATAATTAGGAAATGTAATTAAGAAATATAATTAAGAAATTATATTCTTAGATGAATAAACCATATTTTCAAATGAGCCAGTTCTTGTGAAACTGCAAGTAAGTGGCATGCGTTGCTTTAAATCTTGGGATTGTGGCGCGCCAATACAGAACTAGCTCAACAGGCAAATCACAATCCTATGCGCTGAAGTTGGTTGGACTGGCAATTGAATCTTAATGCAGTGTTGGGAATCACACAATACCTTCTACCCTTCCTAAGAATAGCAGACTACGCAGGGCAGGCTTTATGGCACATAAGACAAAAATTAAGATGGGGTTCAGGGAAGGAAGCTACAGAGCTTCCACAGATGCCCCTCTAACACCTGCCTCCTATAGAGGCTGCCTTCCTCTGTCCAATACAGGATAGCTCCCCACTCCCCTTCAGTACAATTGATGATCATTCCATTATTTGCTATTCTACCAAATGTATTCTTTTATACTTTTTCACCATCTTTTCAAAAAGATGTTTTTAATTAAAGTAAAAGATGTCCTTTCTAATTAAGAGATTTTAGCTCTTAGTAGCAAATCATTTGGATAATTATTTTGCAGCATTGGCCAGTTTATAAAGACACTGCTACAAACTCAAGACCATGTCTGCCACAAATCACACTATGACAATCTCCAGGAATCCCTGAGTCAGGAAATTCAGATTAAATCGATTTGGTGTTAGCAAAAATGTGTTGTTTCCTCTGCTGAAAAATGCTGGAATCTAAAAGCTTGACGAGTACTTCAGCTATTTAAAACAGACAAGCTAATTTAAAAGTCTAGCTATTAAGTTTTATACTCTCTTTTAATAGGGAACAAAAGGTAAAACACCTTAGAGACAAAAAAGAAGCTCTGATAGCTGCTTGCCTCAAAGAAGATGGAAAAAGTGCTGAACTGGCATTAAAAGCTAAAATGTTTTCTTTAGGAGAATATAATCCAGCATCCATGGTAAGTTTGAATGCATCGACCATCTTCATCATAATACAGATTGTCCAATCCTTAAAAAAGATAATTAACAGTTTGTACTGATGCATTTTTGTATCTCTTATCCGTATGTAATACCCTGAGAGTCTAAGGTCCAACATCCCATCACTTTTACCTAAGCCCAGAAGCTAAGCAGGGTCAGGCTTGATTTGTTCTTGAACGGGAGAAATATCAAGGTTTTAGGTTAGACTGGAAAATTAAAAAAAAAAAAAACTTCCCAGAAGGCAGCAATGGTAAAGAGCTTGCATTCTGATGCCAACTTTTGAATACCGTATCCACTGTCTCAAATGGGGGATGGGCTGAATCAGGCTCATGATTCATTGACAAAGGAAACCAATCCTGTCAGTATACCAGTGGGCAACATTTATGTTACTGAGTAACATTGCAGAGCATCCAAAATGACCATCAGCAACTTCTTATTGATATGGATTATGAAATAATGGCTTTACCACTATAATATCTAATGGTGGCAATTAAGTGCTTGGTTTATTGATTTATTGTATCCCATTGAATAAGGTAAATTCTTAATGACCACACAGATTTTCTCCATGACAATCTGTCCCGAATTTGGCCCTTCAGATTTTCCAATCACACATTCATTGCCACTGTAACTGAATCCATCTGCCCTGCTGCTGGTTATCCATTTTTCCTTCCTTGTTGCACCTTTTCTACCATTAGCACCTTTTCCAACAACAAGGTAACTAAAGTAAGGGAACTATAGAGCCAGAAGCTACAATTGACCTAGATAATCTCAAAGGTCCCTTCCAACTCTTACATTCTATGATTCTATATCTGAATACATGTAGATGCTGCTCAGTGTAAAAATCCAGCTTGAGCATGTTCTAACTTGAACATATGCAGCAAATAAGAGACTATCTTTTTTTGCCTAATTTGTTACTCTGTCAAATTCCTCTTACAGTTATCCCCCCACCCACCCCCACACATTCAACTGGCATTATCTTCCTGTTCCATAAGTCTATTCCATGTCCTACATTCTGGAGAGACAGAATAGGTCTTTAATCTTTTTCCAATTGGCAACCTTTCAGATTCCTGAAAAGTAAATATATCTCCCTACTATATTTGTGGACCACTTGAAATGCAGTCTTGCTGCTGCTGAGTAAACTTTTTATTTTTGTTTTAGGGCCTTCAAGTCATTCTTGGCCCTGATGATTGAATAGATAAGTCTCTGCAGTTTTCTTTACAATATTTTCCAAAGCAGTTGCCCTTCATATTCCTAGGGCTGAGAGAGAATGACTGGTCCAAAGTCATCCAGAACTTCTTCCAATGTGTATTAGGTTCTTCCATTTGTGTTTGCATCCACATTGGTTTTATGCCTCTTTGACCACCAAACTTCATTTATTGGTTAACATTTATCCATTTGAATTTTCACAGTGTACATCACCACTTTTGTATTGTTAGGTTTTGCTCACCGAGCGAATACCATTTTGCTTATACATTATTTACTTCCATTTTAGCAATGTTCAGAATTATATAATTCTTAGCCTAAATTTGGGGATTGCTTACCTCTAGTATTTAGTTTTAGATTTTACTATAAGCTTTGATTCATGTTTTCTAATGTAACCTCAGAATTTGCCTCATTTGTTTATGTACTTATTTATTAAAATATATTCCATTCCCAAGACTAAGGGTTATTAATGATATTAATTTTCTTATTTACATCATAAGAATAAAATATTGGATTCACTTACTAAAAAGGTAGCAGAAGTATACAGTGTTTGCTGTGGGGCACAGGAAGTATCCAGTATGACCTCATTCCAAATGCTAAAAAAAATAGAAATGCGAGTTTCAGAACTCTGTGAGATGTTTGAAATACTTCCAAAAGAGTATCTTGAGATTATTGAAGTCACTGAAAAGCTCAGAGCAAAAGAAAGACGACAAAGGTAAGAGTTTGCAAAATATCTCATCGATTAACATAATTTTAACTCTGAATTCCAACACCATTTTATTGAGATCAGCCATGTGTTCAACTTTTGACTTAAAAGGTAGACAGTTTCAGAAAGAATCAATGTTTTTTGCTGGATGCCCTAAGGCCCCTTTATAGTAAAACAAAAATTGTATGAGCAAAATTGGGGTGAACAGCTACAGAATTATGGATATGTCTGAAAAGATCAGTTAGACTACAGAGAATAGCTGTACTATATAAGTGATGGAGAATATGGACAGATAGAAAGATTGTTCCCAAGAACCTCAACACATGATTGGTGACAATGAATATTATATTTGTTGCATTACAATAAGTGATAATACAAATATGGAGCTTGCATTAAAGGTCAGAGAGTATTTAGACCATGATTTAGAAATAAAAAAGCACATGAGTATGCAAACCAAAAATATCTCCCAAATTAGCAAAAATAGTCTGGGATTAAAAAATGCAGAATGTTCAGCCTATAGCATTGGAACTCTGTGGGGGAAAATTATGTGAAGTAATAAAAAAGGGAAGAGAAGAGCAGGCATTAGGAAGTTCTTTCTCACCATTATAATGCATATGATTTCCCATTTAGTAGGACAATATTTGTGGGGGCTTCTCTTATAAAATATTATTCTTGTCCATTAGGACACTCAGCTTTGTCTTCTAAAATGAAAAAAATGTAGTACTTTCTTAAGGGGAAAATAAATGTATAATTGATCTAATTATACAGTATAAAGAGGAGGTGCTAAGCCCTTTTCATTAGAAAGAAACCTTGTGGTACCAATGGGAGCTGTATCCAGAAGGCATGAAGAAAAGGCTTTGAGATTTCCTTTTAACTGGAGCAAGAAAGAAGAGGTTGAAGTGCAGTCTCTTACACAGATAGGATGCGTCAATCGCAGGTTTCCAATAAGTCACTATGACCCTCTCTCATTTTCAGGTCTAACATGTTTTTTTTCTTCACTGAAATAATGCTGAGTTCTTCAGATTTAAACATAATAAAATAAAATCAGGGAGCATTAAAAAAAGGAAGCTTTCTTCCAACAATAACCTTTTCATTTTCAAAGTCTTCCCTTTTTCCATTCTTGAAGGATACATGAAGACAAATTGAAAGAACTCAGAAGAATTCAGGAAGAACGGCTGAAGCTTGCTCTTGAGAGAGCGATTGCAGAACCAAAGAAAAGGGTTGGTAGTCATGCTTTAGAGATGTGTTTTTGGATTGTGCTGGATGACAGCAGAATAAATGCTTGCCTAGCTACTTTGTCAAAGCCTAAACTAGCTATTTGTAGTTAAAACTTTTACTAACATCTTATGCTATATCTAACTAATTATGCCTATTCACGGCTTATGAATTATGTGTTCTACCCTTTTAAGGCCAGACACATGTTCCTATATACAGAGTCATCCCACAATATAGTTTAGTCGTGGTCACAATTTTTTTTAATAAGATACTTCTGGTTAGACTTCCTTGGTGACGGACTGAAATCCGTGATTGTCTGTGGTTTCGGTTCATGCTCTCCATCAAAGGGCACCGATCTATTTGATTTGGGGCTAAAGCCACCCCATAGAGGTGATGAAGGGGAGACCGCCAGCTGGGTCAAGGGGAGCCGCATCTCCCCTCCTTGGCTTGGCTTGTCATCTCTGAAGACAGCAGTAGCAGTGGTCAAAATGGCCACCCTGAAGACGAAGATCAGACTGGACAAGAGTGTGCAGGAGCAGGGAAGAAGCGGACAGCTTGAGTGACCGGGCTAAGCAGAAGTAACATCTAAATAAAAGGTACCCTGGAATTAAAATTATTAAGAACTTTTTTAAGAAAGATTTTTAAAGTGGCGGCAGAGAAGAGGGGAAAAAAGATCTGACAGCTGACAGTGGCTTTGAATTTTGAAAGAGAAGCTTGAAGAAGATATTTGCGTAAAACAATCTTGACACTAAATAGGCAAACTTAAAGCTGAACTTGAAAGTGTCAAGGGGAAAATAAGGAATTTTTAAAACGTAAAAGCCATTAAAGAGAAAAAAGCTGAGGAAAAAAAGGGGGGAGAACTTGGACATAGCATAGAGTGCCACCTGGTGGCAAAAGGAATTAATTGTGAATTTTCAAAGGATTTTTAAAGAATACAAAGTGTGAAATCTTGCTACAATAGAGCTCCCGGAAAGTGAAAGTGGAGCATTGAACTTTGGAACAAAGAAAGAAGTAAGAAGAAACTGTTCTGGGATTATTTGGTGATTTTGGAAATTTTGGACACTGGACTGGCAGAGGATCTAATTGAAATTAACTGTGGGAAGTAATTTTTAGACTTTGGTTGCTTTAAAGTATTGGTTAGAAGTGTTTAAAGATGGCAGAACTTTTTCTGGATCTGAAAATGGAATTTAAAAATATGAAAGAAAAGCTGCAAGAGAAAGGGGAATTGTTTGGCTTTGCTCTACAATTTCTAGAAATGGCAGTTTTAGAATATGAAGAACAACAAGGAGTTCCAGAGGGAGAAGAGCTGAATAAAGAAGAGGCCATCTTTAACAAACAAATGGGGCAATCGGGGTTGAAGAGAAAAGAGGGGGGGGAAGGGAATTAAAAATTGGAGATTAGAGGTAATTAGAAAAGAGAACAGTTCAAAAAATAAACAAAATATAAGCAGAAGGGAGGATTACAGAAGGAAGCCTTAAAGTGGGTGGGGGACAAAAACTGGAGTGAGAAAAAGAGGGGGTAAATAAAGGGGAAAAGAAATTACAAGAAACATAATCAGGAAATAAAGAAACATGGGGAATGAACAAGAATAAGAAAATAGTTTGTTTAAAAGACACAATGGTTAAAAACAAAAATTAAGAGAGAGGATTCTACAAGGTGATAAGGGATAATATAAATATATTAGAAATAATAAACTATGTAGAAAATAGGAAAATATACATTATTAAAGTGGAAGATGAAACTGATATTGTTAATTAATGGAATGTTTGCTAACCATTGAATCAAATATAGAGATAAACAGAATAAAGGTGAAAGAAGGGAAAATATGAGAAATATATTAGTTAATATATGGAATCTAATTGAAATGAATCATGAGGATTATTGTAAGATTATAAGGTGAAAAGAGAGGTATGAAAATATGTATATTAATTATATTTAATGACCTATAAAATATAATTGAAATGAATTATGGGAATGATTGTAATGAGATCAAGATCAGTTTCTAGAATGAATTTAGATAGATTATTGTCTTTTCTTTTTTTGAAATTTAAAGTGTATTGGGGGTAACTTAAGGGGAAAGTACCATGCGGAATCTGACTGAAAAGGGATATATGTTATAATATAGTTATTAGGAGTTGAATGTTATAACTGTTTTAAGGGGACAATCTAAAAGTTGAATGTTTAATGGGATTTGAAAGGGAACTAATTATAAGATATGAAGGTGACACATTCTAATTGGCAACTATAGGGGAAACCTTGTTTTGTAATGTTTGAAATGAGGAATTTTTTGGGAAATGATGAAATAAGAATATGCAATGACATTGTAAACAGGACAGATAAAAGTACAAGTATAATTATTATGAAGATATGAAAATTTTAAAAAGGAAATACTTAGAAACGAATGAGAAAGCTATAAAATAAGCCTGAGGAAAGTATTTGAGAAAAAATCAAGAGAATATATAAAGTAGTGATAAGATATGAAATTGAATATGAAAGATGAATATGTAACTGAGATTATATTTGTATGGAGATGTGAAAACCTGGGACCATGCTAAAAAAAAGATGTTCTATTGTTCTTTTGTTTTGTGAAAACTCAAATAAAATTTTATTAAAACATTTTTTAATAAGATTTGGACAAAGATTGGCTTAAACAGAGGCACTATTTCAGCGATGTCAAATTCAAGGCCTGCGGGCTAGATCCAGCCCGCGAAGTGCTTAAATCTGCCCCACGGGCCAACCTGGAAATAGCAAAGGACCGGCCCACAGTGCGCCCAGCAATCAAAATAAAACGTTGTGCCCCTGTTTTAGCCAGCAAAGTAATGTAGGAGGCTGTCCAGGCCAAAAAGGGGCCACAGGGGCAGCGCCCCCCCATCCTGTTTTGGCCAGCAAACCGCTGCATGGGGCGTCCACCCCGTCTTCCCCTTCCCAGCCCGCAGAGAACTACAACTGATCTAGCCCTCAAAAAAATCCAGTTTAACACCCCTGCACTATAAGAACAGGATTACCAAATGTAGCAACATTGTCCACCCACATGTTAGTATTTTTGGAACGATGCCTAATAAAGTTATAACAATTATTCAAAGGAGATGCTTCGTAATGCACAAGACCACAGAAAGCACAAAGACATTTATTTGCAAAGCTTGCTTGACTATTACAGAAGCTGCTCCCAGCTGTCTCCACAAGCAAGTAACTTTAGCCAAACAGCTATAGATGTACATGGAGATAACAGCAACTTCTGAAGTAGCTGTACAAATCTGAAAATGTCAGTTTTAAATTTGAAAGCAGCTGATTTGCACACATTATTGTGCATTTTGAAGCACCTCTTTAATACTTTGCTATAACTTTAGCATTATCTTAGGCAATAGTTAATAGGGCCTGCAATGGGGGGAATTTGCCTTAAGTTTTCTACGTAGAAAGATTATTTTGCCCCTCCCCTTTGCACCTAATAATCTGGGTATTACTATTTGATTCAGCCATGGCAAATATTCTCAGTAAAGATCAGCTTTTCCACCCACACTTTTGGATTATAATCCTCTCATCACCATGCAACATGGCCAGTGGCCCAACATGAAAGAAAATACAGCCTTGGACGTTACTGTTTTGCGTGTCACGAGGTACCTGTCCCAGAAGAGATACACTATGCATTGCCAAAGTCAATACAGGGTGACCTTGTCTAGATGCTGCAGGGCTTAAGTAGCACCAATCCACACTGCAAACTGCAAACATATCCATTAGAGGGCAGTGAGCCCCATCTTAAAAAGACACTTCTTTTCAGATCCTGAAATTCAGCTTCCATAACCAACTGTGACTTTAGAACAAATCTTTAGAGGTTTTGTAGTTTTTTGTATGAAAGGTGATTCAAATAATTGGGCAACACATACTGTATGCATCCCCCTTAAGTCTTATATCTTATATGCTCACTTTCAGTTCAGGTCTCTGTGTGATCCAAGACCTGACAAAGGAAGATCCTGGATCATGTTGACAGTTGTAGCCATTCCATGTTCAATTCAATTTCAGAACTTCCATCTGAACACATGGTCATTAGGCAGATTATACATCTTTCTCTGCTCACACAGAAATGATCACAGCTGCTAATTTTGGGGTGGCATTTTGAATTCAACAACAGATTTAATGACTTTTGTCTTTTTAAAAATCCATTAAAATCACATTTAAATCAGAGCTAAATTATTTTTCTGATTTCAATTCTGAAGGATTAGGAATTATAAAATAAAAATATAGACAACTGTCTAACAAAACTTTTTAATAGTTTCTTCATCATAAAGTCTGTAACAAAATGTGCAGACACCTAGTTTCTAGAGCAATCCCAGCCATAATTTTGATCAAAGTAGGATATTTAACAACATCTAGCCTTAAGATATATATCCATATTAATGGGGCCACGTTAGTCACGACTATCTTCAATTAATGTTTTCAGTAATGTCACAAAAATGAAAGTATTTATACAAACATTGCCAAAACACTCTCCTGCAAAAGTATTTAAATGTACATTAAGGGTCAGGTGTGACAAATTCAAAGAGAGTGGTGGAAGATGTCCAGTGATGTGACTACTGGATTCTCTGACAAAAAAGCCTTCACTTCCCCCCATCCCCCCTCCAAGCTAAGCAACTTTGAAATGTGTGTTTTGTTCTAACTAGATCTACCTACAGGCATCCATTTCAAGTGTTTCCACATTTGTATAAAATATAAGTGAAAGACTATGTATGGGAAGTTTAACAGGAAAACTAAGGCTGATTTTAAAAGTCCATGCATATACGGACTTTATTTTTTCGTCTTTGTTTTAGATGGGAAGAAAATTGGTGTACCGCTCACAGCCTCCAATGACTAAGCACGAAGCAGAACAAGCTACAGATGCAACTACACGAAGTGAAGATGACTACTACTTTACTTGAGGTTTTTTTGTAAAGTGTATTTTTGTACTAGTTTTATATCTTGCACCTAGTCATATAAAGTAAATGGTGATGGAATACATCTGATCCCATTTGCTTTAAAATATTTGTATTAAGGCTAAATAATCCCAGTTTTTAATTTGTGGTTCATCCTTCATATTGACTGTTTCTTTCAGCTATATGTATTTTTCTGCACCCCAAAATGTAGAGTTAAAAAACATGAATTTTTTTCAAAAGCAACAACTGAATATATATATTTTACACATTAAAAAACACAAGATTTTCCAACATTATTCTCTCATTTCTCCATCTTCTTCTTCTTCTTCTACACCCCTTATGTATAGGACATTGTTGCACCTGGCAATAAAGAGATAAGTTATTTTTGCTGTAATTCACATGCATTTTAAAAAGACTGTTTTCTATAAAACAAATTTAATTCTGTATTTGGTGTTATGTTTAATATTAAAACTGTTTTTATTGAATTTGTGTCATTATTTAAGTGCATTTGTCTATAATTGTCAAATACATTAAAGAAACAGTGCTTTATAAAGAATGAAATTGTGAAATAAGCAAACTTTGGCTTTGCAACAGATCTTTCTACTATTTTGCTTTCCCAAACTTATGCTTTCCATTTTTATTTGTCATTAAAATCTTGGGGGATGGAGCACATTGTGGAGATGCAAAGGAAATTCAGGAGAGGAAGAGAGTTTCTTTTGATTGTTCAAGGAGAATCATGCAACTAACTTGCATTTATCAACTTAACAGACGATTTGAAATCAAAACTTTATTAAAGCACTAAGGTATTTGATTAATGCACTTTTTCCGATATAAGTAGTTGTCAACTGATGACCACAATTGAGCCCAAAATTTCCATTGCTAACCAGGACATGTGTTAAGTGAGATTTGCCCTATTTTACAACCTTTCCTACCAGAGTTAAGTGAGTGACTTCAGTTAAGTTATAACACAATTCTTAAGTGAATCTGGTTTCCCCGTTGACTTTACTCAAAATAAGGCTGCAAAAGGCAATCACATGACCCTGGGATACTGCAATCATCTGAATTTTGTGTATGTGACAAGTGGGGATGCTCAACAGTTGCAAGTGTGAAAAATGGTTTTAAGTCACTTTTTTTCAGTGCCATTGTAACCTTGAATATTCCCTAAATAAATGGTTGTAAGTCAAGGACTTCTTGTACTACACAGGTAGTCCTCAGGTTATGAGGCAACAGGGACTGGAATTTCTGTCACTAAGCGATGTGGTTGTAAAGCATACCATCACATGATCGCATCGCTTACAAATATTTCCAACGCTTCTGGTTGCCATTGTCAATTTCAGGATCGTCTAGATCAGGGGTGTCAAACTCACATGGTCACAATGGCGTCACAGGATATATCAGGATATTTTTTCCCTTCATTAAACCATGCATCCAACTCGTGGGCTGGGAATTTGACAGCCCTAGTGTAGATTAAGTGAGGACCTCACCTGATTGCAATGTGGGAAGAGATGTAAGTCCCAGGCAAAATGCCAATGGGTGAAAGTTGCAGGTGAAAGCTTTGGGCAGGCAGATGCTAGAGTGCAGGCAGGTGGGTGTAGGCAAGTATGTAGGTGGGTGCGGAAAGTGCTATGGAGCACAGATGAAAAAGCAGCAAGAATAGGAGTGACTGGCAACCTCCTGCCAGCTTTCTCATTGACTTTGCTTGTTGGGAGCCAGCAGGGAAGGTTGCAAACAATTGCTGAATCAGTGGTCATAACCTGACCTTTAGTTGATAAAGGTTATTTGTTAGATTTATAACTCCAAGAGTTTAAGGCATATCACATGTAGGGCTCCTCTCGTTTGATTTTTCACAATGATTTGGCAAGATAGGTGAAATGTACATCTGGCAATGCATCAATTGGCCCAATAATTTCTAACAAATTTCCTGCTGTGAATTTTAACTTGTCTATCTTCATCCAGCACTTCAATCACTTTTACAATACTTCATTTTAACCTACTCAGTTACATGAAGAAGTTACCTTATCAGAACTTCACCAAGATGTCCCGACAATGCACCATCAATATATTCTTCGGTATTGGCAAGCTGTACAAACAGGAACGAGTATTACTGAATAGGAGAGTTACATGTATTCCTTTTAATTAGAACATTTTCTACATTCTATACTTAAAATTTAATAGAAGTTCAAATATTTAATACTCTAAATTGGTGGTTCCCAAGTATGAACTGAGTTCTGAGATCATACAAGGAGTCTATTATATGCATAGGTATTTTTTTTAAAAAAGAAACCATTACACAGCTGGCACTTTTGGTTATCAAGATACTCCAGTGGTATCAGGTGGCAAGGAGAGAAAAAAAAAGGTTGACTTCGTCAATGGAGTGAAAGGAAACACATCAGCCGATTTCAGAAAGCTCCTCCTGATCAGTGCTGACATTTCTCTCCTTCCCTATATACAATATATGTTATCTATTTACTTTAATAACATTTTACAGTATGAGCACTATAAAATTATAGACAACAAAGCATGAATCCTTTATTCAATACTGTTCAATAAAATATAAATTGCTATACTTAGCAATTGGGCTTTAGATTTTGTTTTTTTTTCTGCATTCATATAATTTGATGCTATATTTGTACAGATTATGCCTCAATTTATTTGTTCAAAACTAATCTCTTACTGTGCTCAGGTACAGCACAGAAGTATCATCTCCCTATATTTTCACCAATTGGATAATATGGATATTTTCTTCCATCTTGACTTACCTGCATATTCATGTAGCCATCAACCGATACAAGATAGCCCTTGTATTCCATTCCCCACTTCAATTTCACCATTACTGGCTTCCCAGTTAGCCCATTTAGAAATGGCTTTGGATTGAGAGGCAAACTCTGCATAGACAATAAAATAAAAACGCACACACACACACACACACACACAGTTAGATTCTTATCCTGATTAAAGTTTGATTGCTAAGATTTAACAATTACAATTTTAAGATAAAGATTATAGCATTTCAAACAACTGTTGACAAAATACACCTTTAATTCTATAAATGCCAGCTTTTATTCTTATGACACTATAACCTAATAATAATGATCTCATTATTTGGGACATTTTCCAGAGATGTGCTAAGGATTGTGAAAATTACAGTGCAATCATTCTGAAAACAGCCAAATTGGTGATGGGCATTTTAAAAATATATAATTCTCATTTAAAGTTGTACAAAACTCATGAGCATAATTACATGTTGCATTATCTTAGTGAATCCCAGAGCCAATTTTTTTTACAAAGAAGTGTTGTTTTCTCTACCTTAAGTCTTTCACTTCATACTTCAGTTCCAGCACCATATATCATACAGACCATGACGAAGTTGGTACACCATTAACTGGCCTTATTCTACTGGTCCACTGGTTTTTAAGCTTTATCTAAACAATAATTAAACAAGCCCCAAACACCATGACAAGAACCATACACAGCATTCAAGCCATATAGATGTCAGAAGGCATCCTAACACTAGGAATGTTATCTTTAACCACCCAGGAGGGATATGTTGTGCGTCTCATCTTCAAAGGAGTTCCATCTGATGGAATCCAGGCAACGTGTCTTTTCTGCTGTGGCCTTGGGAACATAATTCCACCCACCCTCCACTCCACACAAATGACATTAGTCCAGGCATAGTTTCTTCATCAGCTTCAAGGATTTCAGGCAAGGTAAGTGTATGAGTCCAGTGACCGTTGTCCTCCTAAAAATCTTCGTTTTGCTTTTTTATTCTAATTATATGCTCTATTGTTTTGAGATTGTTACTGTTTGTGCACTGCCCAGAATCACGTTTCCATGAGACAGGTCGCTATATAAATATGCTAAATAAATAAATAAAATGTATGTATGCATGTTCCCACATAGTGTAAATAAAAGTTGCAAGCAATGTCCATGGATAGATCCCATTCTTCCCCCCACTAGATGCGCAGACACTCACACACCCCACAGAAAACTAGGAATCTGTGAAGAGAATATAGTCCATTGGCATCCAGAAATATTTCACAAGAAGAGTTCTCCACTCCTCTACTCATTGCAGAATACCTTATGCCACCAGACTTGAAATTCTAGACCTAGAAAACCTTGAATTATGCCATCTTCGGTGTGATCTAAGTATGGTATATAAAATCACACATTGCAATGTCCTACCTGTCAATGAACACTTCAGCTTCAACCATAACAACACAAGAGCACACAATAGATACAAACTCAAGGTTAATCACACCAAACTTGATTGCAGGAAATACGACTTCAGCAACAGAGTGGTCAATGTCTGGAATACTCTACCTGACTCTGGTTTCTTCCCCAAACCCCCAGAACTTTAACCTTAGACTTTCTACTATTGACCTCACTCCTTTCCTAAGAGTCTGTAGGGGGCGGGCATAACCGTGCCTACCGTCCCTGTCCTATTGTTTCTTTTATTTTTCTTATATGTATCCATATATTCATAACTATGTTTTTACTTATACCTATTATCTTGTAAGCAATTGGCAAACCAAATAAAATAAAATAATAAAATAAACAATAGTCTTTCCCAGCCTGATGAATCTATTCAGCTGGGAGTGATAAGAACTCTACCCCAACGCATCTGTAAACGCCTATTAACCTGAGAAGTCGTGGGGGGGGGGGACGGGGGGGGGACATTAACCGCAGCACCCAGCCAATGCTGCAGCCAAGAGTCTCTTTCGAAACCGCGCTCCCAGATGCATCACCTGGAACCCGGGACCTTCCTATCGCGCTGTCTCCCCTCCCTTACTCACCATAGCAACCCGGCCAGGCGAAGGGCGGCTGAGACTGCAAAAATTATTCGGGGGGCAACACGTGCGCCCGCCAAACTTGCAAAAGAAAAGGCCTGGAAGTGACGTCACACGCAGTCTCTTTCCTCGAGCAAAGCTTTCCTGTTGACCTTTCACCTGAACGGAATAATACTCCCCGTCCTGTTGATAGACTTACACATTTTCCTATCTCTATGATTCAGGAGGAGGCGAGATGCAAAGAC